CATATTTTTCTAAACTTACATATGTATGTAAATTAAATGTCTTTCTGAAGTGGGCGACGGGATTTCGATTCCAGCGACCGACCAGCTTCCAACGGGAAACTGCTTAACCAAAATAGTGTCGACACTTTCGTATCGACCTTCAACTTCAGCCCATTGTGGCAGTGAATGACTTATGAGGAATTGTTAATTTTTAGTAATTATTTCTCTAAGATAATCCTCAATAAATGAGACTGACTTGCCTTTTCAATAAAATGGATTTAATATTTCTCGTTGATTTTTGTTCCATAAGCATTGATTGGATTAAATAAATCAAATCAACCACTGGCTTGTTTTTTTGTTTCTCCAATCCACTAATTTAACGATTCAGATATATTATTTGTATTGTACTAAATTTTTATCTCACTTGAGATACCACATTTAAACCACTTATAGCATAAAACAAGCAAATATGCATATACATGCGAACACATATTGCTTTGCTCAATCATTTTATTTTCAAACTCAATTTTAATAAATGTTTCAGTTGCATCCCATACCATACCTTGAACCTTTTGGATGTCTTTACGGTGATTTTTTTTTTCAAATTCTTCAATAAATTGCTTATATACGCACCCTGTGCTCTGCAACTAGAAAAACGACCTTCATGATATCTTTAAATCCCATTTCCATGTTAGATATAAATGCTATATTTTATAGTTCAGAGTCAAATTATTCTGCTAGTTGTTCTATCAATGCCTAGTTTTCTTCAACTCTGATTCAGTAATTGCAAAAACTATCATAAATAGTTTATTATTTTCATCAACTAAATTAGCATAAATAAAACACCTAGATATTTTGACTTCAAATGGTAAGCATCAAGGCCAATTAAGTGTTTGCATCCTATTACAAATCAATCAATAGAAACCTTGAAGCTAACATAGAATCTTGTAAGAAAAGAATCATTTGGGTTGCAACTGGCAACATGGATAATTAAATGCCTCAAATTATAAATCTTTGTCTCAATACCTTCATTATAAACAAAGTTAAGATTTGGATAAATATGTTATTAGCAGCTAATGTCTCTTGACCTTGTTGATAAATTTTAGAATCTCCATCACTTTGTGTGATGACCACAATATTAACTCAGCTATATCCACTCGAGTGAATGGTCAACTCCACAACTTTAATGTCATTGGTTATATGCATATACTCCTTTGGTGATGTTCCATGATATGTCTTTTAGCATGCTTAATTTTTTATATTTTTAATATTTGTTTATGAATGAAATTGCACTTTAAAGGAATATATTTTCATGTTTTTGGTGCATGTTTGATAGGTAAAGCGACTAGAGTGAAAACGAAGTGAAACATAGCAAATGGAGCATTGGAGCTTGGAGTTGAACTAGCGCCTGGGCTCCACTCCATGGTGCCATGGCGCCTGATCTGTGCCATGGCGCTTATGCATCGTGCTCAGTAAAGATTCCAAAGAAGGTGGCGCCTAGGCGCTAGCTGTTTTTCCCAGCCTACCAAGAAGATGGTGCCTAAGCGCCACCGTTGGGTGCCTAGGCGCCATAATTGTATGGAAGTCTTATGGGAGTTATTTAGTGGTTCGGGGTGATGGAAAAAAGCATTTTTTTTGCCAATTTGAGGACTTGGGATGAAGTTCCAAGGTGTGGAACTCCATATTAGGAGTAGGATTCCACTTATTTAGAGGGATTTGTAAGGGAATTTGAGAGCATTTGTAAGGGATTATATCAACAATTGCAAGGAGCATTAGAGAACTTCAGTGGTAGGATTTCAAAGAGATTAAAGCTAAGTATTATTTGTTTAGATTGCATTGTAATCCAGTAAACACGTATTTAGTGAATTTGTTTTACTAAGTAGAGTTTGTTTGATTTTCTTACAGTTTTTTAAAGCACTTATTTTGTTTAATCACTTTGTTTCATGAAATTTTCTGTTGATTTTATTATGCATTGTGAGTAGAAACCCTGTGCTTTTTTTGTGATGATTTGGTATTAAGTGCAGGGTGTAGAAGTTTAATAATAAATCTTAAATTTATATGTGACGAATGATTTTCTAGACTTAATTTACATATTTTACCGGCCATAAGATTTGTTAAAGCTTGTTGGGTGACAAGCGGGACAAACAATTATGGAGAGCCTAAATGTGGTACTAACTGGCACCGTTACCAAAAGTAATTAATTAGTGAACTAATCTTATCTATAACTCGGCAGAGAGTATATAGACATATGCTCCTTTTGTCACTACTTTATTCATATTCTTAAACTTCTAACCTATAAACTGCTTAATTATTCACCAAAGAAAAGTACTTTTTATCACTCTTGAATTTAACCTTATTAATTGCTCTAGATAAGTTTTATTATAGAATTAAAATAGTAATTTAGAAGTAGTGATAATAAAACCACATTTATCGAAACTCCAAACTAGGATCTTATAGTAGTAGACTAGAACTTCTTCTAAAGTTATCGTCTATCTCGATTCCCTGTGGGTTCGATATTCGAGATTAAAAGAAAGTCCTATATTATTTGAACGATACGTGCACTTGCGTTAACACCTAGTGTGAAAGTGATTTAATGTGAAAAGTTAAGTTTTTAAATTTATAAAATATATTTTAAAAATTATAATATTTAAATCCTCAATCACTAGGTGTACCGTAGAGAGTAGCGGTCATTCCACATTTGTGATAGTGTAGTTAAAATTCATGTACTCTAATCTAATGATTTATAATGCAGGATGTCTAATTATTTTAATAATTTTTTGGTGGCAATCTTCTTATTTTTTTCTTGTTTGATTTTTAACTTGCATCCAATATCCATAATATTTGAATGTGACGAATAAGTTCTCATTTTGATCCTCCATTAAATTAATCTTGAAATTGGACCACACCACCTCTACATAAGAAAAGAATAATATGAGTAAACATGGATGTGATGGTTAAACTAATTGAAGGTTCCGCACCACTTATTAATTAAAAAAACTTAGATGATTATGAAATAAATTAACTTATAAATCTGCAATCTTGTCAGTCATAATAAGAAAACCATACAATGTAGCAAAAATCTATATGAAATTCACTAAACAGATACATCTTTTAGTGCAATGCTTGGTTTTTTAGGAACTCAAGTCTTGCTTGAAGTTGGAAAACAGGTTTTTAAATAGTACTTTGGATTGCTTTAACTAGAACTAAGAGAGATTGGATTTGAGTTATCACTACCTAATAGACATTGAATTTCATGTAGCATACTTATGTCGTATATCATGGCATGCATTCTCTTATATGCATAATTGACCCGATAAGCTACATGTTTGAATATAAAATAGCCTTTGGCCTCTCAACTTTACACATGGAAACCTTTTGGTCATCCAACAACCTATAACAATAGTCACTACTCATTTTCGAGCATGAAAGTAAGCCCTACAACTCAAAACAATAAAGAATAAATAAAATGCTAAAAAAAGCTATTTAACCAAAATATTCTTACATATAAGGGCATTGTAATAGATCTAATAATCAAATAGGATGCACTTAGTATCCAAATTAGCTATACGCTATATGTAAGACACAAGTTTGCTGTAATCTATAATTAAAATAAGTGCATTTGTCGTCATTGATGTATATAAAAATATAAATATTATTAATATTTGAATTATTTCAATAGTTCCATAAGAGAAAGGAGTACAAATATAATCTACATGTCAAATTAAAATATGAGTTAAAAGATTTTCCAAATTTCATTTGAGTCAAGGTGGCCATTGCTCCTAGGATCATATAAATAATGCTAAATAAAAGGATGATTTGTTCCAAAGAAATTCCATAGAAACCAACAAGAAAAATTGATGAGAAGCATTAGTTTAGCGGTCATAGAACGTGGAATCTTCATTTTCCGTGAGGATTGTATGAAGGTCGAGGATGGAGTAAGATGTTGTTTACTTTCATAAATGGTCTCTTGTAAAATCAGACCGAAATGAGAAGAAAGACAAGATTTTCAAAGGCAATTTTATGCCACAATTACAACATTGTCTTCTCAAAACTAGTAAAAATCCCTAAAGGAAATCTTGAAAAGACTTTGAGCAGGAGAAAAAAATGAAGGAGAATTCACTTTCATCAATGATCTTCGGTGGCAGCGGATCAAAAGAAGGAGAAAGACTGGAGTTTCAAAAATATTTGTATATTGCGATCCTAACATTGCTTCCCAGAACTTGTAAAAACCAATGAAGTTCAAGCGTAAGAAAAATGAAGGAGAAAAAGTTGGAGCTGTATGCATGAAAAAGAAAAGAAGGGGTTTGAGCGCAAGAGAGATTTTCCGCACGTGAAAATAAAATCGTGAATTGAGGCTTGACATGGTGTGCTTTTGTATTACCTAAATATTTTATGCGTAAAATCCGTAATATTAAGATTTAAGTTGTGAAATATGTAAATATGAATGATTTATTATTATTTTTAAAAGATAGTTAAAACTAAAATTTTGTTAGGAAATATAAATCCAACTTAATTTTATGACTAAAATTACTGTATTTACATTTTGTTTTTTCTAAATTAGAAGTAACGATGCAGAGAGAACTGTCTAGTGTAGCGATACAGAGCTCTCGTCCTTTGGGCGACTTCATGGCTAATCTTCCAACATCTCTCTCTATCAATTCCCCGCCTTACGGCGGACCGGCACCTTCTCCGCTGACCACGCCTGCCGCTGCAGCCGCTGCCCTGGCTGCCGTCGCTGTGCAATCCAAGGATCGAAAGATGGCCTCAGCGGAGCAGCTCGTGCTTGATCTTTGCGACCCAGAGCTCAGGGAGAACGCCCTTCTCGATCTTTCCAAGGTGTTGTTCTTGGATCTTTCTTTCTGCTTTATTCTTTTGATTTGATGGATTTTATTGAGAGCCTATGATTATATTTCTGTTTGGTTAGCCCTTTTAGCGAGAAAAGCGGACAGTTCGAGAGATTTGAAAAAGTAGTTATCTTTTTATCTTTTTCATTGAAATTAATTATCTTTAGGGTTTCTGGCGTTATGCTGGTGGCCGCTCGCAGTCCACAGTCGATTAGTTTCGCTGGTGACATGTTGATAAACATGGCCGACAAGAAGAAATCTGGGTCAATCAAAAAGTATCTTTGCCTACAGAAATAAATCTTGGTTGATAGAATAAATTGTTTTCTGATTGACTACAAATACTTCAATGATAGTGTACAACCTAAGGTTGGACTCACTCAAAAGGACTAGGAGGCAAACTAGCTGGCCGGTTCCAGGGAGACTTGTCAGCAGAGTTGGAGATGGACTTGATTAGGTGAGTCCAAGGAGGACTCGCTCAACTAAGTTCAAGGCATCTTCCTATTGAGACTAGGTGGACTCATATGCTTAATAAGGAGAGGAATATCCACCTAACTCAAGAAAAAACTCATTCAAAACCATCTAGATATTCGTCTATGCTTGAAGGAGCTATTTGGCCCATGCTCCAATGAGGCACATTTCTTTATCTACGAAGCCGTTTATACTTCTAGTCTGAGTATATAATTAGGTCAATTGCCTATTTTTTAATAATATTTTATATTCATTACATGTACAATTCATCGTGTAACTTTTCTCGTGAGACTGTAGATCCCAACCAATAAACATGAGGTTTTTTAGAGTCCAGGGCTTCCTGTATTTATACATTATATTTTTGAGCACTTATAATGGATTTTACTTGTTCACATCTCTTTATCAAACCTTTTCTTTTCCTTTGAGTTAGTAAAGTTCTAACATTATTCATAGATAAAACATAATTCAAAATCCTTCTAGGCACAGTGAGCATGGATCTATATAAAGAATCATAAGGGACATTTAAAGATTTGCTGAATGGTTTAGCGGAGATTCAACTAAAGAATCCTGTTCAAGAAAAATTTCTATGAAGGTGAAATACTAGAATTTTGTTGTTACTTGGCACCTAGTGGAGATGGAAAAATGACTAAGTCAAATGATCCATGACATTCTAGATCAGATCCCAAGAAGGGAGCTAGAGCATAACCACCTGAAGAGTTAATTGACTCGATGGCATGAAGAAGGAACTCAAAAACAAGAGCATTGTTGTCCCTGTACGATACCTACTACATAGAGTTGGAAGAAGAGGAGCCTACTCCAAAAGCCTGTCACTTAGAAGGACGATTAGAATGGTGACCGCAATTGAGTAATGCATTTTGTATAGAATTCATCAAACTAAGACCATCGATGGTTGAACTAAGTAGGCAATGTAGTTGGCTAGATTAGTTCAACCATCGATGGAAGAGTAAATATTATTACTCAAAAAGCAAATAGGGCTACAAGCAAAGACACATGGAACAAGGAAATAACAAAGACATTATACGACTCAACTAGGGCTTAGGTTGAGGGAGGTGGTGTTGTAGTTTACGGAGGAAAAATTCACATGGAAGTGGGGGAAATGGTTGGAGGCCAGCAAGGGACGGTTGCAGTTGGCTATCAAATGACAAGAAGGTGGGCTGTCGCAGGGTATGGCGAGGTAGCTGCAACAGGCAGGGCATTGATGATATGGAAGGGTTGGTTAGGCTCACGTCAGCAAGGAGTTGCAGAGTTGTGGCAGTGTTGCCAAATGGCTGGACAAAGATATGACAACAAGGGGAGGGTTTGCGAGGCTGCAACGATAATGCCAGATGGTTGGAGAGGGGTAGAACAACAATAGGAATGAGCGGCGGGCTACGATAACGAAGGTGGAGGTATGGGAAACTTTTTATGGATTGTTATCATTTACAAACATGGAGTGTCGCATGTTATCATTTCTGGCGAAGACCATTATTTTTTTGATAAAACGCTTGAAGGTTTTAGACAAAGTTAAGGGATTTTTAAATTTGCCTCTGAGCAACACGAAAAAAAATAATAATTATGAAAAAAAGAATAGCCAATTCGAAGTGGTGAACATGCACAAAGTTCAACAAATTTCTTAAAATGAATTGAAACTTTGAGTCATTAGTGATGAAGTAAAAATTTAAGTTGCTATGTTGAGATTTTGAGATTGTTGATGAGTTCAACTGTATGAGGTGCTGAATTTAGTGAGTTCCTTAATTATTGAAGGAAAGCAAGTTGTGCTTTTTCAATGGCCAATTTAGACTTGGCCTTTGACGTCTATCTTTTCAAAGGTACCTGAGATCCTTTGTTTGTCTAACTTGGCTTTTGCATATGTGATGCTAAAGTCACTTGCTGGCATTATTTCTTTCATTATCTTTTTGCAAGAACAAAATGCAAGGTGGAGCTTAGATTTGTTCAAATTTATGTTTTTGAGAAAAAAATTTCTTTACGTCAGAGTACATTCATATAATAGGTCTAGCGAACAGGGTGAAAGATTATGTCATGTAAGGAGAAACTTGTTATAACTAAGCCAATTGTTATTTTGAAGAGTAAATACTTGCAGAAAAGCTTTTTGAGGAAGGTGAAACTTCTCTCTATGAACATTAGAGAAGATTGATTTGACTACGTCTATTGTACTTGAGACAAGTATGTCAAGTCGGTTATAAGATTAACAAGGGGTGGTCAATTACAACAACGAAGATGATTGTTATTTTGAAGAGTAAGATATCACAACCAAAGCTTTCTAGTGAAGATGCAACTCTTTTTTATGATAATTGGAGAAGAACCACTTGATTGCATTTATTGTAATTCAAATGAGCTTGTCAATGTAGTTATTCTTCTTGACTAAATCAATTATGTTTTCTTATTTTGTAAGGGTATTATTTTTATCATTTGAATTATAATTTTTGTTTTAAACCTATGATGTATTTGCATAATGTATACTGTTATAAGCGATATCCCAAATGTTTTTGATTTGAATGAAGGAGTAGCATTGACTTGGAAGCTCTTCATAACTTGCTTTTGGAAGGAAAACAAGTTGAGTTAACCCTTAGAAAGAGAAAGGAGTTATTCTTGAAGAAGATGATGCTGAATTGGAGAAGGCTAAAACAATTGTGTTGTTCTAGTCTAAATGTAAGTTTGAGGTGGCGGCAACTTCTTAAAAATGTGGTTGTAAAGTTATGGTGGAGTAGACAACTTCATAGAAAAATATTGTGAGAATTATATATATATATATATATATATTG